GATAGTTAAAGAGTACAAGGTTTTATTCTTGAGCTAATGAAAATGTTCTAAATTTGACTGTAGTTACTAGTGTACAAGTTATTGAATTGTACATGTCAATTGGGTTAATTATATCATATGTGAGTTATATCTCAATAAAGCTGTTAAAGCAAATAAAAAGGCTAGATAAAAAGAACTAGATTGTTACCTATACTGTTGGATCTTGCTTTGTGCTTCTCTCTTACACCATTCTCCATGTTCCTCCCAACCCTGAATTTTGAGTTAATCATTGCCTGGTTTTATTGTAAAACAGTTTTATGACATATGTGTGTATTCCTAAACAGTATGTTGTTTAGGTTTGCTTATTTTTGATTTATAAATAAGCTATATATAATAGTCTCACTTTTAAAAAATTCAATGTTAAGTTTTTGAGGATTATCCATATCGTTACATGTAACTATATAGTATTTGTTGGCAAATATTTCACAATTTATCTATTCTTTTACTGGTATGTATTTGGGTTGGTTCCCATGTTTTGCTATTAAAAAGAATGCTGATTTCAAAACTTATTTTCATGTGTCTTGGCACACATGTGCAAGAGTTCTACCATATGAATGTGAATGTGCCATGTATTTTAATGACCCCCTCCAAAATAATTTTAAAACAACGTTGATTCTCCTGACTTTTACATTAATGGCATATACCCAGCTTATGCATTCCCTCAAACCAAGTAAAAGTGACTAGAACTGAAAGCCTAACTTCTCATCCTATTTAAATTCTAATTGTAATATCTATTTTCTCATATCCTAAACAAGTATGGAAAAACGCTAATCTAAAACTTTACAATTGAATCATAGCAGGCCCACTTAACCCAGTCACTTATCAGCATCATTTAACTTAAATCAAAGGGACATTACGTTAAGCAAGGTACATAATAGTTACTAAACTTCACTAACATTTTTCTTGTATGGTATCCTGCTGGGTAGTCCAATATTTCTGACATGATTAGTTTGGTTATCCTGGTAACGAGTCACTTGTAAATTTGGCATTTTAGCCTTGGGCACTTTCTAAGTCTGCCCTGATTCAAGCTGTGAGCTTTTGCAGTTCATTCAGGATATTTCCACTTTACTGAGGAAGGGGGAAAGCACTCTAAGGTCAGAACAGAGCATTATAAGGGATTTTTTTAAGTTTTTTTCCTACTGTGGTAAAACATACATAACATAAAATTTACCATTTTAATCATTTTAAATTGTGCAATTCAGCACAGTGGAATCATACAGTATTTGTCTTTTTGTTACATAAGCTTTTATATCCAGAGGAATTAAGTACATTCACAAAGTTGTGCAGTAATTGGCACTATTCATCTCCAGAACTTTTTCATCATCCAAAACTGAAATTCTGTACCCATTAAACAATAACTCCCCATTATCCCCTCCTCCCAGCCCATGGCAACCACTATTCTTTCTTTCTCTATGAATTGGCTTATTCTAGGTACCTCGTATAAGTGGAATCATACAGTATTTGTCTTTTTGTTACATAAGCTTTTATATCCAGAGGAATTCCATCTCGTTTTGTTTTTCTGTTTAGTGGACCCTTTTTCCACTAAAAGAAAGCATAGCTTCTTTTATTGAGAAAGTATGTAACAAGATTGTTCCCCTATTAATATATAGCCCTGTATAGAAAGGGGCAGACATAAGAAATTGTATAAAACCAAAAGAACTTTCAGTTATTATAGGTGGGGTCTTCATCTGCCCCGTTTAGTTATTTAGTCATCTAATAATCCTGGTTTCACATTAACCACTTAATCAAGTAGAGAAGGTGCAGTTAGTTTCTAATTTTTAAAATTTCACACCTATCTGATGAATGGATGAATTAGATAACCTTTGAGGTTCCTGTTAGCCCCCAGCTTCTCAGAACTTAAAAGCCCTTCTACAATATAAAAGTTCGATCTAAATCATTCTTGTTTTGATAGGAAGGGGTATTAAAGATCAGGAGGGTTCTAGGAGACTGAAAGTGGAAATGAGGTGGTCTAAATGGCACTATTGAAGAGGAAGATGGTCCCTGGAGAAGCTAGATACTGGAAA